CATTGTAAGTATTGGGAGGAATCTTCATGTTATATCCTGGTGCCTGTGGATTACAGCGAGAATCACTGCGGATGGAGATGTAGGCTTGTTCGGTGACTATGAGATTTGCTAGCGCATTCGGGAAGCCTACAGTGTCCGCATCTGCAGGGATAATCACATTGTCTTCTCTATCGTCGTCTGCGAGGGGATGGGAAGTTGTAGGAAGAAGTGCCAGACGGGGCAGGATTGGAATAGGTGGTACGGGGGCATCAGGGTCATCAGCAGGCAGAACACCATGGATGTGTGCTTGTTGTAAATCTTGTTGATGTTCCAAGCGAGCTGCATTAGCAGCAATCCTCTCCTTGTATTGATGTCCCCATTCTGTAGCTTGGAGAGTTCTACCAGATCGATGAGGAGTAGGTGCATCAGGTGTACCATGCACGATAGGAGCAATGACTGCTGGAGCTGGAGGAGGAACAATTGCAGGTGCTGGAGGATATGAGATGTTGCGACGTGGAGTGATGTGATTACTGTCACCATCATCGTCACTGTCATCAGTGGAGAAGGGATGATTGTCAAGATTGTCAAATGATTTGTCGAAGATGACGTTGCAAAAGTTAAAGAACGCCCCAGTGACGGAGTCACAACAACGCCAGGTCTTCACTCCTGGGGGATATCCCATGAAGATGGCTTCCCGGGAGCGAGGTCAGAGTTTTTCCTGTAGTTCCAGTGGGATGCAAACAAAACAGTGTGCCCTGAACACCTGACAGTGAGATATATCAGGTTTCACCTTATGTAGCATCTTATATGGTGTCTTTCTTGGGGGAAGGGATCTAGATTCTGTGCGATTGAAAAGATAAGCGGCACAGAGTGCCGCTTCCAAGAGAGCATGGTAGGTGAGCATGATCAAGCATGGCATACATTCTGCCCTCAATGGTGCATATGATGCACTCAGCCTTACCATTCTGTTGATGAGCATAAGGTGCCGATAATTGGTGGATGATTCCAGCAGACTCCAAGTCAGCAGTGAATTCATTGCTGATAAATTTACCCCCATTCTCCGAGTGGAAGACCTTCACACATAGTCCAGATTGAGTTTCCCATTTAGCGCGAATTAGATGCATGGCATTGATGGCATGGTCCTTGGACGCCAGCAATTGAAGATTCAGAATGTGCGTATGGTCATCTAGGAAAATGATGAAGTAGCATTTGTTGTGGGGCATGAGCACAGGGATCGGACCACAGAGATCAGAGTGAATGAGGTCAAGGAATTGAGATGCTCATGGGGTCTCTGAAGGAGGGTGTGGGCATCATGTATGCTTGCCCATGATGCATGACTCACACTTTGACAGGGATGAATGGGGTGCGATGGTAGCACCAGAAGCAAATAGAGGTAAATAATGAATGGCTTCGCCACCGACATGTCCAAGATGAGCATGCCAGAGATCAAGGGATGGAGCAACATGCATGAATGCTGTGATGTCAGATGGGAATGGTGGGATGTTAGGAGTGGTGTGCTCGACGATTGGGGCAGGTAGGAATTCTAAGTTCACATAGCATAGATTGTTAGCCATAGGAATAGCCCCAAGATCGGTCCCTCGATATACAAGCTCACAGTGAAGCAAAGACACTCAAAAAATGCAGTCCTAGCCCTTACTCAACATCCAACATACTGAGAGGGGATTCAGCATAGCTGAAGGTGCATGAAGACAGTTGGAGAGTCGAATATGACATCTGACGCCCCCAATGGTGAGGATGGCAACACAATCCCCCCTTCTGGACGTGGTCAAACTCCCGTGATTGGCTGTACAGACAGTTACTGCATTGGCCATAGAGTAGGACCAGAAATACGAGCAGTCTCAGTGTAAAGAGTAGATCTGGGCTGGGCTCTACTGATTGTGAGTCCCTAGTCCTGAGAGATGTGAGTATGCTTCATGTTACGACTTGGATGGTATCTGTTGGCGACGCTCAAACAGAGCGTGTGTTGTCAATGGTCGAGGACGTCCTTGGGCTAACCCAAGGTTAGGGGTCTTACTTGGCGACGCGTCGGCAAGTAAGATTTGACGCCTATGTCTGAATCGGGTAGCTTACGTCAAGTGGATGCTAGACGATGAGCTGTATCTGCCAAGACTTACGACACCCGAAGGTTAATCGTAAGATCATCATTAATTAGAAGGACAGAAGTCCGACTAGTTAACAGGGGCTCTGCTTGTCGACGAAGTTGATGAGCAAAGATCGAGACTATAGGCTTATCCGCAAAGAGCAGATAAGAAGATAGAATATAGACTGCTGGCTAGGCAGAAAGGATCACTCTGGTGAGAGTAGGAGGTCAAGAACCAAGTAGATTCAAGTTAAGGAATATGTTACATGGTAGCGAGTTTATATAGAGGACAGGAAGCGTATTAGTGGATGATAACTCGTACTACCAAGAGAGGCAATCGGTAAAAGGTATGACTATAAAAGGAAGGCACGTTTGAGGTAAGACACGGGTGAGCTCTGAACGTGCGGATAAGAAAGTGAGTCAAAGATCAGAATAAGAAGTGAAACACGCAGGGGTATGATCGTGCAGCTGCGGAGCTAAGTATAAGTCGCATGTGCGACTGCGCATCGAGTCAGAGATCAAGAAAGGGAACGGGGCAAAGGGGATGCGTCATGCATCATATCATAGGTTACCGTCCGGACGGTAAGGGCAAGGGGACTGTCCACAGGATCAGTCAGGTGGTGGAACGGAGCATGGATATGCTTCGTCAGCGAAAGGATCTGGCCAGATGTACTGGCTCTGCTGAAGCGACAGGTAGAGAGCGAAAGGGAATGCGAGAATGACGAGGATGACCAGGGTAAGGTCGGGGTGAGGGTATGATGCAAGGGCTGATACGAGGAGGATCAGGAGAAAAATGGTAGGGGCCCAAGCATCTAGATGTTCTTGTAACACTTCGTCCCAAGAGACAACCTAAGAACTACCTTGATAATGCAAGGGAAGTCTTATTCAGTTACAGAGTAGACAAGATATTGGAAGAAAACCTCTTTAATGTTCATCCGTAGTTCCGAGACTACTTCCGAAGTACCAAGAAACTTGTCCGATGCGACCGAAGCTGCAAAAGTGTTGTCCAAAGTAGCACGATACCTTCTGAGGCTTGCAAAAGCTGTCCGAAGGTCAATATATGTCGGTATGTCGATGTGTCGAATAACAGTATAAGACTTTGTGAAACATCTGAAGTCCGGAATGATGCTAATCTATCGGAACTCAAGAATAAATGAAGTGCAAAATTGGCAGTGGTCTAGCCAAACAATTGTTCTGAATGAACAAAGATTGATTGCGCAGTTATGATTATACTGAGGTGACTCTACTAATTACTACTCGAAGTACAGGAAGTGAAGTCCCCTATCAGTAGCCAGCGAGCAAGATTATATCCTACTTCCATGATAGACCGGAATCCATAGGCAAAACTAGTAGTGAGATAAGCAAGTCCGAACCTATGTAATAAGCCACGAGGCATGCAGGAATGCAAGTATACATGTAATAAGCTGCAATGTGTACTGCTTATACGTATTCTGAGGCTCCTGACAGGATGCCGATGGAATTTTATCTGTGTAGTACTAGACGTAGTCAACATATAGTTAGAATAAGGGAAAACGCACCAGCGAAGTCAAAAGGACAAGGATAGGACATGGTATGGTAACTTGCAAGGTTCGGACAGGCCTCGGAACATGAGAACTGCCTGCGGAAGGTTCGGACGAGTGCACACGGCCTTCAGAAGGTCAAGGGAGGTCGGGGAATGGTATGAACGTAGGTGTTGGATTGCCTGGTTCCGAGCCCAGCGCCGCAACCATCGTTACATTGGATTAGGGTAGTTGTCATCCCTAAATCAAGGATGGTGTTGAATCCCTCTGTGATGAGATTTGCAAGGGCAGTCACTGTGTTGGGATCACCCACCGTCTCGGTGATAGATGCACAGGAGAGATCAGTGAGAAACATCAAAGCAGCAGCTTCAGTTCCTGTGAAGGCGGCTATGGCCATGGATGGAGGTAATGTAGGAGGAGTGTTATTGGCTGTGGGAGATGTGACGACTGCAGTGGCAGCCGTCTCCTTCTCCTTGTCTCTCCTTTTATTCTTCATCCAGGGTGCTTGTCCTTCCATACCTCCCCCCTTCACATAGCAATGCCCGTGGTCATGGTCCCCTTTGTTGCAACCCACTGTGGTGCAGAACATGCCCTCTGGATTGTGGCGGTGTTTGCGCAAACCGGTAATAGGATTGATGTTTCTGGTGTGCGAAGACGCCAACATTGCTGTGTGGGCATGTTCAGATCCAGGCATACCACCAGCCAAGACACATTTGTTGATGACATGTGCAGCCTCGGATGATATGCGCAAGATGCAGATGTCAAATATGGAAGGTGTGGGGAGGGGAGGCACAACAGGAGTGCCAGCAACAGGTGCAGTAGTAACCAGCATGATGAGAGTCAAAGTGGGCAGGTGTTACAAGAACATCTAGATGCTTGGGCCCCTACCATTTTTCTCCTTAGTCTCCTCGTCTCAGCCCTTGCATCACACCCTTACCCTGACCTTGTTCTTGTCATTCTTGTCATCCTTGCATTTCCCTTCGCTCTCTACCTGTCACTTCAGCAGAGCCAGTACATCTGGCCGGATCCTTTCTCTGACAAAGCATACCCATGCTCCGTTTCACCCAATGACTGATCCTGTGGACAGTCCCCTTTACCCTCACCGTCCGGACAGTAACCTATGATACAATGCATGCCACATCCCCTTTGTCCTGTTTCCTTTCTTGATCTATGACTCGGTGCACAGTTGCATGTTGTACTTATACTTAGCTCTGCAGTTGCACAATCGTGCCCCTGCATGTTTCAGTTCTTGTTTCTGTTCTTTGACTCATTTCCTATCTGCACATTCTGGTTTGCCTATGACTCACCTCGAACGTGCCTTCCTTTTCTAGTATCACCCTTTGACCAGTTCCTCTTCCG